CCCCGGTGTCCAGTCCTACCCCCGGTGTCCATCCCTGTCCCCGGTGTCCGGCCCTGCCCCCGGTGTCCATCCCTGCCCCCGGTGTCCATTCCTACCCCCGGTAACGAGCCCTACCCCCGGTGTCCGGCCGGTCGCCCCTCGTTTAACGCCGCCGCCGGTAATTAACGCTCCCCCGGGAGCCCTCCTGTCCCCAGCCCTGCTCAGCCGCGTGCCCGAGCACAGGCATTGCTCTCTCCAGGGCCAGAACCAGGAGCTTCCCCGTGTCGCCATCCCCGGGAGTTCAGCGGGCAAGCCCCGCTCCCCGCAGCCCCGGGCCAGCGCAGCCCCGGGCCGCCCTGTGCCGGAGCTAACCTCTGCTGAGATAAAATGATCCCTTTGGGATTAACGGCACTTTTAAACACTTCTGAATGGGGACACGGCCCAAGACCTGACCGTAAAATCCGGGTTTGAAAGGACTTAAAATAAATCCCCCGCTGCCCTAGTCTTGCTATTTAAAGGGGATTATCTAAGGGGCTTAGGAGCACACGGAGGACAGCAGGACAACCTGTGCGCCTCAATCCCCTCAAAGACCCTCAGAAAACCTTTCTGCATCTCACCTGCTGACAGCTCAGGGCTCGCAGGACACCCTTCAGGTTTCTCAGAGTATACCACATGCCCGGGTGATGAAGTTCAGGGCTCCGGTTGGATCTATGGGGTTCACTCCCAGACGCTCCCATCCTCACTGGGGACGGTCCTGCAGCTGTGGTAGGGGTCATTGGTGTCACTGCCCTCCACAACACCCTTTGTGGGAAAAAGCCACTCTGTGCCACTCAGACAGTGTTTTTTTTTTTTTTTTGCACAGAAATATACCAAGTTTTACAGAATACAAACTGCAGGGATAATGACAGAGCATCAAAGACAGAGGATGCAGAGCACCCTTGTGTCTCCCTCTGGTGTTCTCCAAGCTCTGGCCCTGACGCTCACTGTCAGGTCTCCCCATAACCCCGATCTGCTAAGGCTGGGGAGGGGACAGACAAGGTGCCAGCATGTCCTGCCCCAGGAGCAGCCACGCTGGGCACGCCTCAGCTCTGGGCTGAGGGCACCAGCTGCGAGAGCATCACTGGGGCCGGGCGGGATGCAGGCCACTGATGGATGGACAATAGCCTTTTTGTGCTGGTGGAGAGACTGGTGCTGGGTGAACACCGGGTGGTGGCAGTGCTGGGAGTTCCTGGGCTGCTTCTGGGGGCTTGGAGCACAACCCTTGTATTAATCCATCAGACATGACTGGGAAAGGATAGCCCCATTGCCTGGACCCTACAGGCAGCTGCCCGGGGTTAAGAGGATGCTGATCCCACAGCAAAGCACCTGGCTCTGCCCTGCCCTGGCAACACAACCACCCGAGCAGGGCTTGGCCCTGCTCCTGACTGTCAAAGCGTGGCCTTGTGGCTCCCTCCCCTGTCAGCTGGACTTCCGTGCCACAGCCCTGGACACCAAACACTCAGCCCACCCAAGAGGTCAGGCGGAGAGTGGGGTCTTGCATCCCACTTTACGTGCTCTGGAGGACAAAGAGCCCCAGAGAGAGGGGCCAGGCAGGGCAGAGAGGTTTGGGCTAGGGAGAGGGGAGGTTTGGCCTGTGTGCAGGCTCTCAGCTCTGGGGCAGACACAGGATAGGCCACACTCCAGGAGAGAGTTGGATCCCCATCACTTAAAGCCATGAGACCACATTTGGCTCGGGGTCAGAGACAACCCCCTTGGCCAGCTCTGCAGCAGCCAGACCTCCAGCTGCTCAGCACCCACAGGGGGAAAGCAGAGAGCACCAGGAAAAGGCCCTGCTACTCCAAAGTCACTTACCTCAAGTACAAGACCACCACAAGCCCTTTCTCCCTTTCCAAAGAGATCTAGGAGATCACAGAGCACCTTCCTGTCCCTCCCTGATCTCCACACAGCAAATACCACTACAGGCACCACAGTGTGGACCGGGCTTCCCACTCCCACTTGGCAACAAATCCACATGGGGGAAGCACCATCTCCCCACAGAGCTGGCCCCACCAACTGAGGGGATGGACAAAAGTCTGCCACATCAATCCTGCGTCTCCATCACCTAATGAGAGCCCTGAGCACTAGAACAGAGCCCAGTGAGGACATGGGGTGAGGCTGAGCAGCAGCCCAGGGAGGCAGCAAGGCTGCTCTAATCGTGGGAAACGTTATGTCCGTTTGAGGGGGAAGTGAGGAAATCAAATGCACTGTGGGGAGACCCCTGCATTGAGCCAGGAACAAGCTGCTGCTCTGCTCGGGCTGCTACAGCACTTACGTGAGTGGGGAGTGAGGGGCAGGAGGTGGCTGGCTGGCTCCAGAGCCATCCCACAGCCCTGCCTCACCCCACCTGGGGACAGCTATTTTTGGTTAGGAGGGTAAGGCTATTGTGTGATGGCACCAGATTGTACAGGTGAGATGGGGGCCTGACAGACACCTGAAGGAGGTCCCAGGCATGGCGAAGAGAGGGTGGCTGGGTGAGTGTGAGTGTGTGAAGAGGCAGGAGGGAGGCAGGCCCGCTATTTGCCCGCGGCAGGGGCCGTGGCCACGATCTCTTCATACTTGGGTGGAGGGTCACTGTAGGAGACGCTGGTCTCCTCGCCGCTGCTGCTGCTCTCCGGGTGGCCCGTCACCTCCTCGTAGGAAGGCGGGGGGGTGGCACTGGACAGTCTGGAGAGGACGGAGACAGAATGCTCTGGTGGGCAGAGGGTGCCGTCTGGCTGGGGGGTGCCCCCGGCTCTGCCGTCCCCAGCCCCCCGGTTGCTGGCTTCCCGCTGGTACTGGGTCTCCCCTTGGCTCTGCGACCGCTCCCGGTACACCATGACCCTGGGGAGGCTGCGGCCCGTCCGGCTGGCCAGGTAACGGTTCTGGGCATAGGAAGGGCGGTGGCGGGTGGCCTTTTGCAGCTGGCACCTCCAGATGATGAACAGGGCGATGACTATGAGAAGAGCCACCCCCAAGAGGGGCACCACCACGTACATAGCGTCAGAGCGCTCCGTGCTGTGCCCGGGGTCCTTGACAGAGTACACAGAGCTGGTGTAGCCTTTCCAAAACTCCATCTGTGATGGGAACAGAGAAACAACCATCACGTGCTGCAGGTGGGAGAGGGACCCCAACCACCACCAGCAATAATCTCTGCCCTCCCCAGGCCCACAAAAAGGGCAGCATTTTGGATGTCCCCCACCCCTTCAACTTGAGGCAACACCAAAGGTCCTGAGAACGTCCCTCAACAGCCCCCATGTCAAGCAGGGAAAAATTTATTCCACACCGAGCCCAGCCTAGAGAATAATGGACAACAGCACAGATTTGCCACACATGCCATGGGAGCACCAGCTGCAGCTGTGAGCAGGGTGTCCTGGTAAAGCAAGGTGAGGCCATTGCCTGGGAAGGGAAAGCCATGCTGGGAAGTGAGGCCACAACGTGCTGCCTGCAGCCAGAAGAGGACAAAGGGAACAGGAGAGGCTGTTCCCCTTGTGCTTTCCTTCTGTCTCCAGCCTGCTGAGGTGTGAGCCCTCCCACAAGCCCTGGGAAGCAGTGCAGGACAAACACACCGTCTTCTCCTTGTTCTCAAACACCTCCTTGACCTCCTCGTAGCTGCAGACCTCCTCGATGCACTCCCGCTCGATGGTGCCCTGCCGGATCTCCTCCAGGAAGCCATTGGCTCTGGGAAAGCGTTTCAGGAGTGAGTGGGCATTCCTGGCCCCCAAGAACACTGCAACACACAAGGCAGAGACATGCTGAGCAGGGACAACCCCACACCCGGCCTCTGCCCAGCCAAGCTTCCCGACCCCGATTCCTGACACTACGTGCATCCCCAACACCAAAAACCCAGGGCTGCAATCAGGTAGGACAGCAGGTAGGACAGCCAAAGGGGCACAGGACTCTTGGGGTTTGCCCATATGGCACCAGGAGCCCTCCTGTCAGGGCTGAGGTGCTAGAGACATCAGAAGCAGCAGCTACAGCCACACAGGACAACTGAGGAAGAGACAAAAGGCTCAAAAAATATTTGTTTCCAACCTTCTGCCACTGATGGATTTCATCTTTCTACCCCTTTGCTGCAGGGCAAGGGAGATCTCACAGGGCTGGGACACAGAGCTCTGCCAGGACATGGGGCCAGCACCGAGAGGGACTCACAGCCCACAGCTCAATACGACAGCCTGCTGGAAGCTGGTGTCCCTGCTGCCAGCTGCTCAAGTGGCATCAAGGACTGTGTTCAGGCACCAGAGAAACACTGACTTCTCCCAGGCCCAGGATAACAAGGGAAAACGTCCCCAAAACACAGGAACAGCACAGGGGATTATGAGTCAGGGGCCTGAGCAACCTCTCCTCACACAGCATCACATTCTCATCCCCACTTTTTGGTGCAGAGGCCTCACAAGTTTTCCTCTGCTCCCAAAGCCTGGGAGACTCCTCAAGTCTTCCCACAGCACATGCAATCCTGAAGCCAGACGGAGCAGGCTTGCACCTTCCTCCCTGCAAGAGAGACATCAAAGCCTCTCCCCCATATCCTCCCTGCAAGAGAGACATCAAAGCCTCTCCCCCATATCCTGCAGGAGGGACACCTCCACAGGGTGCAGGAGACAATCACCTGCCAGGACCTGCAGCAGCACAGGAGGCAAAGAAACTGCTCAGAGGGCAGGAACTTAATACAAAACATGATTCTTCCAGGATCCAAACACACATTTCATGAATGAGCGTTTCCACAACGCAGTTCAACACACTCAGCTGTAGGCTGCTTCCAGCTCTTCCCACCAAGCCACAAAATCCTGCTGCTTCCCTTGGGAAGATGAATCAGTTCAGCTGGGTGATCCACAGGAACTTATTTACCTCCTTCAGGCTCAGTTTTCCACTGGATCAACAAGGTGAACCCATTCACACAGCAGCAGCATCAAAGGAGGCAGGGGGATAGAATCTCCCATCTGACCAGCTAGGTGATAACAGAATACTGGCTGCAGAAGCAAAACAGTCAGTGAAAAGCCACCAACTTCTTTCCTTAGGAGCCTTTTCCCAGGGAGAAAGGCAAGCTTCCTTCTGCTTTACCTTCCATATATCCTGCTGCTGAAACAATACAGCAAGGTATTTGTGAGAGCGTTTGGAAATATCAACAGGGACAAGATCATGGTGTAAGAAACAACTACTACTGTGCTACACCATCCTGGGCTTGGAAGCACTGAGCTGCTTTTGTGCTGTGTAGATGCATTTTCCCCTTGTGATTTATTAATGCCTTGCTTCTGTGAGAGTTTGCAGAGGGCTGAACCACTGAGGTGTGAATGAAGAGCAGCATGAATGATGTGAGTCACAGATCTTCCCACAGAATCGACTTTATTATGCAAACCATTTTTTTTTTTACAAGAACAACCAAAAAAGCATTTTCAAGAGGCACAGAAGGCATCTTGCAGAAGGGCAGGGATCAGCTTGCCTTGGCTTTCACAGTTGAGGAGGCCTATCCTGGCTGGAGAGGGAACAGGTTGGCAGGCTGGCCTTGTCTTGAGCCTTTCCAGAAGGAGATGAATTTTTACAAAGACAACATTCATTCTGCAAATGTCCTGCACTTTGCTGGAGAAGTCTGGCCTCACCTCCTTTGCCTCCCACCTTGATCAGGCCGTGGTAAAAACTCTCCCCTCCTTGGCACTTGAGCCTGAGACTCAGATTCAACTTCCTCAGCACATCTTAGAGCAACAAGCTTGCCTGCAGATCTCACTGTCAGTGTTTTCCATCCCTGCAGAAAGCAGTCACCTTTCCCTGCTTTGCCATGCTGAGCTGGCCACTAAGGTAGGAAATAAAAACAGACACACAGGCAGGCAGGTATCACAAGCACTGTCCCAACTGCAAGCATGCTGTGACAGAGGTGTGTGTTTTTCCCCACATGCAATTTCCCACAGGGACATGGAAATGGCAGGAGAGCAGAAACTGAGTCACTGCTCTCTCGCCTTGAAAGTGCAAAGAGCTCCCACGTGGCTCAGGACCAGAGCAGGAAAACCACTGGCCTACAGGAAATGAGCCTCTCATCTCTACTGGATCCCCAGGTGACATGAAGAGCAGACAGCCAAGCAGGTCCTGTCCCCAAACCACAGGGCTGAAGGGACCTGCCACTGCCCAGCAGCCTCAGTGCTGATCCCCTGTGCCTCTCCAAGCCTCCCCACACCAGCTGGAGAACCGGTGCTCAGGAAAGATCAGAGCTTTAGGCAGGGGAAGCAGGAGCAAGGGCTGGGTTCACCTCATCCCTGCTGGGTTTCCTGGGGTGCTGCTGGCCCCTGCTGGACACCACCCCATGTCTCAGGTGCCCTGCTTGGGGAAGACACCCTGGGGCTGCTTCCCTGGGGAAGCACTGTGGCTGTGCCTGCAGAGGAACAGCCAGGGATGGCAGGGAGCGTGTGGTGGACAACCTGCCCACATCCCCTCCTGCACATCAGGGTCACCATGAAGGGGACAGCTTGGCAGGGGACACTGCCACCACAGGGGACACCTCCCACCATCAGGAAATGCTGGTGAGCCAGCACCTGAGCTCTGGGAAGGAGAAAAGGCAGCAGTGGAGAAAGGCAGGGACCCAGCTGGGCACCCTCCTTATTAACTGAAGATTTAAAGCAGCCTTTTAAAAACACTGCCTGAAGTTCTCTGCTCCCTCCCGCACCAAGCACAGCACAGATGATGAAGGAAGGCATACCTGTCATCCCTGGGTCCTCCTCCTCCCCAGCGTGGCTCCTGCCTCCACCTTCACAGCTGGCTCTGGTGACACTCCGAGCAAATCCCAAGATGCCAGACAGATCTCTCCATCTCCCCCTTCATTACTGCTGTTCTCCTTATGCTCCCATCACACCAGGGCACGGAGCCTCCGTGCAGGCTGCCCAGGAGAGCGAGGAGGGAGGCTCTGGACAGACCACACACCCCTCTGCAGCCTCGCCAGTCTCAGCCCATCTTTAGTGCTGGCCCAGCACTGCTCTGGGTGTGCCACAGAGAGCTCAGGATGGGGCTGAGCTCAGCAGCTTCCACAGAACACAGAGCCACGGTGCCACTGGCCACACAAGGCAGTGTGGCCCCCAGGGTGGGCAGTAGCAGGGTGCCAGTCATGGACATGAGGGGCACTGTGGATGAGAGATGTCAGTGCAGACAGGCAGCCCAGAGAGCCCTGGGGAGGCCTGTCCTGCACCACACAGAGACAGAAATGCTGCAGCCTCCGGGTAGTCCCGGAGAGATCAGACCTTCAGCACCTCCTCTCGACTCCCACCTTGCAGAGGGGAGAGAGAAGCACAAGTCAGGCCGGACCCCAGATCTCACCCAGGGCCAACAGCCGATGGCAGCTGCTCCCCACAAAGGATAACACCCCACAAAATGCAGAGGCACCCCTTTCTTGAGAGGTGGCTGTCAAACATCCCCCTTCTCTCCTCCAACACCACCGCCACCTCTCCATCTCGCCTAGGGAGCACTTACTTGCCATGCTGCCTCACTCGGCCAAGGGGGGCTCCTGCCTACCTGCAGGGAAGAAAACAGGAGAGTCACTGACTGCTTAAATTTCCAGTCCAGTTTCAAAGTCCAAACCTCCATCGCCCAGGATCAGATTCATGCAGAAAGCATGGTACTGAGTGGTGGACCCACAACAGATCCCAGCTGAGCAGTGCCCCTGCAGAGAGCCAAGGATTCCAGCTGCCTCCCTGCTCTTCACCTGCCTGGAGGGGCTCAGGACACCCTCAGCTCCCAGAGTGCTGGGGCAGGTCCCAGGGAGAAGCAGGACCCTTGCAGACCAGCGAATTAGGAAGGGAAAAACTGGATGAAGGATAGACCCCATTTCTCACCAGCAAATGAGATGAACTGCATGTCAGACTGCTGGGAGAAGCCTGGTGCTCTTTCCTTCCACAAGGGATTGATGGATACAGGTGAAGCAATCATCTTATTTTAGAGCAACTTCACAGACGTGCCAGTTCTCACTTCTGCAACTCCTACCCACAATCTGGTTGTTGGGCCAAGCTAAGGGCAGCAGCAAGAGTGACAGAGCTCCCTGCACATCCAGAACAGCTCTCCAGCTGGACAAGCACCTTTTGTGCTTCAAAAGCAAAACTGAACTAAACAAAACCCCAGAGAAGTTAAACAAAGCCGTGCAGAAGCAGAGGATTTCTGCCTGTTTCCCATGCTCATAGATCAGACTGCCCTGGGCTGACCATTGCTGCATGTGACACTCAGGAGACAGAGAGGACAGGACTACCCAGCTCCTACATGGATTTATTGCAGATGAAGGAGCAAGCATGGTTAGAAAGAGCAGGAACTAAACCACATGCTGGTCTCAGGCCCAGGACTTTAGTTACCCAGTTATTCCAAAAGCACTTGGATCTGCTCTGCTGGAGTGAGGTCAGGAACAGCACAGAGCTGTTCACAGGGTCAGCAGGGCTGGAATCACAGCTCTCCTTTCACATAAAAGGCAGGCACACAGAAGGGCTGATGCTGCACACCAGCACACCTCACAACAGCCACCTTCCAGTAAATGGAGCACCTCTCCCTGCCAACATCAGGTTTGCTGTGCTTTCCAAGGCTCCTGCACCGTAAAGCGGCAAGAGGGCATGCAAGCCTGGAGCTGTGTCCAGAGAGAAAAAGCAGCCTCTTCCCAACAGTTTGGGAAGCTCAGATTGCAAACCTCAGTCTAAAGCTGAAGCAAGAGCAAGGGAAAGCAACAGAGCACCAGAAGTATATGGGAGGGATCTGCTGCCTCCAGTGCCCAGCAGCCCAATCCCGCTTCTCTGAGCCCTTCTGGGGGATGTGAGAGGCCTCTGGATCCATGAACTCCCCCACAGGCTCTGAGCAGAGACCACCTGACCCACTTCTGCTGTCATCAGTTTTTACAAAGAGACCCAAAGCCCCAGGATAAAAGAAATCACAGCACACAGAACATGCCACAGTTTCCACACAAACCCTCGTTGTTACAGGCACTCTCCCCCTCTGATGGACAGGAGAACAAAGACACAGAAAGAAGGATATTCTCACGTCACACATCAGGCAACAAATTTAATGTTGTTTAATTTCATTTACACTCCTTTACTGTCTTCCATGTATCTGTGTCAATGCACCCAGTGTCACAATCAGGGAGGTGCACATAAGCTTCCAAGCACAAGCAATGCTGGTGGGAGGGGCAGACGCCCCAGAAGCTTATTTTTATTTCCACATGCAAATTCCTGGCCACCTCCCCTGGCTCCAGCAAGCAGGAAAAGCTGGAGCATTGCACACGCTGACACCAAGGGGAGCAGCATCCCTCCTGCCCCTACACAAGCAGAGAGAAGCCTGAAGCCGGAGGCTGACCTAGCAGACGCCCACCCATTCCCGATCCCCCCCTCTGGCTTCCCATCCTCTATAAATACCCCATCGATAGGAGGTTGCTAAGGCAACCGTGAGGAGGCGCGAGGGATGCAGCCATGGGAGTGAGGATGCTGCAGTCGCACATTTGTGTCTCCCCCAGGCTCCCCCATCTCCGCCCCCGCTCCCGTCACTGATGCCAAAGGAGGAAATCGTGCCGGGAAAACACGGTGTGTGCGTGGAGCCGGTGCCCCACGGACCCCGAGGGGACCTGGGGGTCCACAATGGGAGGTGGCACCTCCTTGACAGGCTGGAGGGGGCACAGGTAGGGGTCGGGGACATCCACAGCCCCCAGTGACGCGCCACGGCGTGCAGGGAGGATGCTGACTGTGCCAGCATCACGTAGCCACGGTGCCAGCGGCTCAGCTGGATCCCAGCAATATTGGGGGTTTTCCGTGCCAAGATCCACGGCGAGGAGAAGAGGCTACACCGGCTACACTTGACAGGACAGGAAGCCTCGCCCTCCCAAAACAGCTTTCACTCGCCACCCTGCTCCTAGGCTGGTCCTCACACTGCCCTGGCAGCCCCCAGCCCAGCCCCTCTGTGCCCAAACCCAACTCGGAATTATCCCCACTGCGCTCTGCTTCCACAGCCACCCCACGGCAGGGACCCCCAGCTCACCTGTCACCCTGCAGCAGGGACCCCCAGCTCACCTGTCACCCTGCAGCAGGGACCCCCAGCTCACCTGCCCAGGTGTGCTGGGGCTTTCTGCTCCCCCCTCAGAGTGCAGTGCCACCCCTTGGCAGAGCCCTCAAGCCTGTCACCCCACAGCCGAGACCCCCAGCTCACTTGTCACCCCACAACAGGGACCCCCAGCTCACCTGTGACCCCACAGCCGAGACCCCCTGCCTACCTGTCACCCCACAACAGGGACCCCCACTCACCTGTGACCCCAGGGCAGAGCACCCCAGCCTGTCACCCCACAGCGGGGTCCCCTAGCTCACCTGGCACCCCACAACTGGGACCCCAATGTCGCCTGTCACCCCGCAGCGGGTGTCCCCCCAGCCCACCTCCCCGGCCATGCGGGGGTTTCCAGCCCCACCCTCCGCCCCACCGACACGTCCTCCTCCTCTGCTCCGTTCTGCTGTTCGCCACGCGCCCAGACACACCGCGCCAGTCCCAGNGGGAAGGGAAGGGAAGGGAAGGGAAGGGAAGGGAAGGGAAGGGAAGGGAAGGGAAGGTCTGGCTCTGTGAGCCAGTTAGGCACTCACAGCTCAGGGCTGTCCATGTGTTCCCCTGCCAGGGTCCCAAGGCCTGACACAAGTAGAGCACGTCCACCTGAGCTCCTCTGAAGGCTGATTTGTCACCCTCTCCACTGGTCAGGAGTCCACACAGCTCCTGAGGTACTTTAGTGAGGAGGGCTGTCCCTTGAAACTCCTCTCCAGAACATCCAGTGGCCTTTATTTGAAAGGCAGCTTTGCTTCTGGTGCAGGCCAAGGAACACCTGGGTTGCAGTAGGTACAATCCCCAGGCATGTGGGACATCAGCACTCACAAAACTGAGCTCTCCAGACCTCTGCCAGCCCTTTTCTACAGAGGTAGCAGCACTGGGCCAGGGAAACTCGGGTTGTAGCACCTCTTCTGTAGAAGCAGGCTGAGAAAATGAGGATTGTTCAGCCTGGACAACCTCTTCAATCTGGAGAATATCCTTCCAGTATCTAAAGGAGCTCCAAGAGAGCTGGAGAGGGACTTTTAACAAGTGAATTGAGTGACAGGAAAGGAGGAATGGCTTTAAACTGATAGAGGGCAGGTTTAGATTGGATATAAAGAAAAAGTGGTTTACAATGAGGGTGAGGCCCTGGCACAGGGTGCCCAGAGGACCTGGGGCTGCCCCATCTCTGGATGTTCAAGGCCAGGTTGGATGGGGCTTGGAGCAACCTGGGATAGTGGAAGGTGTCTCTGCCCATGGCAGGGGGGTGGAATGAGGTGTTCTTTAAGATCCCTTCCAACCCAAACCATTCTATGATTTAATGCACTAACCTCAAGCTTCCTTGAGCCTGTGGGACTTTGCAACTCAATCCCCTGTGTCCTGAGCCATGGTTTGCCTCCTCTCCCTTCTCTGCACTAAAGCTGTACCCTGACATCAGCAAAACTAAGTACCTGTCCAGGAAAGGAAAGCAAGATTGATTTGACTCCAAATGCTGCCAAATGCATAAAGCCAACACACTGGGAAAAATAAGGCAGGCAATTTCATCCTAGTTGCCTTCAGCAACAATGACATTAGGTGTTATTTGATACAAGAGAAGAGCCAATATTTCGAGACTGAAGGGCAATTATTTAAACCTGTGTATTTAGAGGGTCTGGAAGCTGTTCAGAACAGAACTGGAAACAGCTTCTGACTCGGGGTTGTGTGGGCCCAACACTCTTCTTGATGGCTTCACCCTAGTCCAGACTTTGGATTCAAAGAAAACTTGGGACAAAGTTTCCAAAAGCAAAATCCCGATTCTTATCCACAATCCATAACCACCAGCTGGATCAGCACGAAAAGTCAAGTGCCAGAAGGGTTTTGCCAGCCCTGTATTTCCAGCTAGGAGCACAGGAAGAACCCTGCTCACCTCGCTGAGCACAAGCTCTGGAGCCCCAACCTAATAATGTAAATGTCAGTGGCTGAACCTCCAGCCAGCCTTTGTCTCTGGCACAGGAATGCATTACCAGGGCTGTGAAATATTAAATGAGGTGTTAGAGTCAAAAGAACAAAACTACAAATCCAGAGGCTGCTTTCCAATGCCCCCCAGGCTTGGCTCTGGCTGCCTGTGACATAAACAGGGATGGATTTATGGCAAACCCACCCCAGCAGGGGCAGCAGAGCTGGCAGGGGACAGGGGGTGGCTCCTGCACATGCACACCCCCCTGTCCCAGGCAGGGCTGCTGCTGCTCTGGCCCTGGTGATGCTCAGAGCACCCCCAGCTCCCTCCTGCTTCAAACAGGAGCCTGTCAGGATTCCCCACAGAGCCTGGGGAAGAGCAGGGTAATGGATGAAGGCTTCTTAGTGCCAGGCTACTGCTTTTCCCATACATCCACTCCATTTTGGCACGGGAATAGCCAGGAAGCCTCAGCAGGAGGCTGCTGTGGGCGCCTGTGAAAAGCCCCAGTCAGTGCCTTGGTACCTCTGCTGGCACTGAAGCAACTTCACAAAACTGAGCTTCAAAGACCTGAGATCTGCCAGAAGTGAAATAAAGAGACATCCCAGAGAGCAGACAGGGAAGCAGGGCAGGTGCAGAGGGGAGAGATGCTGAGATACCGCAGGCATGGGAATCCAATTCCGTGTTCAGTTGGGAAATGCAGGGCTTTGATGATAACACTGATGGGGTGTCCTCCCTCAGGCTGGGATGGTGCTGCAGCTGGAGATGCAGAAAGGCACACATGGGCATGGAGAGGAAAGGATTGACAGAGCCCCGGGTGTTTTACTGGAGAATGTAGGAATTAACACAGCAAAGAACCTGGGAAATTCAAACCACCAGTGCCACACAATGGGCTGAATGTGCCCTGAGCAGCAAACAGAGCTCTGCAGCTGCACCAGCAAGATGTGGCACCCGGGACATTGGGAGCAGCCCTGAGGATCACTCAGTCTCTGAGGCTTTTTAGGAGCTATTTTCACATTTCTCTGCCATTATTCTGTAGGATGTTTAGCCACCACTCTGCCCCAGAGAGGCTCATCCTTTTCTCTTGGCATAACCTCTCAAGTTTTTTGAGGGTAAATTCAGAGTCATGAATCAGGCATCCATCAGGAGGGCAGGACTCCTGGTACATCCATGCCAAGTATTCCAGCCTCACATGGCTCACCAGGAGGAGGTGAGATGAGCACTGATGGAGGCTCCAGTGATGGAGGCAGTGTTCACCAAAGCTGGGTGAGATCTGGCACCCTGTAAAGAAAATCACCTCTCCTTCAGAAGGGGAGAGATGTTTGCAAGGTGGGACTGAGAAATGACAGCCAAAACAGGTCCTGCCACCTTCAAACTCCACCACATCAGCCAGGATCAAAGTGCCAGTGTCCCTGTAATGAGGCACATGGCAGATAAAGTCCATGTTTGCAGAAAAATATTCAAAGCCCAACTGTGTGTACCACCTAATCCCCTTATATCTGTGATTAATCATGATCCCTTGATACTTCTGCTTGCAGGGGCAGAGCATTTTACCTAAGGCTACCATGAAATTGCAATTTCACACTCTGATTCTGACCTCTACTGCCTCTCTGGTGCCCCACTGGGTCAATAAAACCATGCAGCACAGGGGAGTGTGAGGGAGGGGTGTGGTGGGGCAAAGAGCCTACAGGATGGATTCCCTGGGATCACCAGTCACCAGGCATTGAGGAAGCACTGTCCCAGCAACCTTCAACCCCACAGGGTTCCATAGGGGCCCCCATCAAGAAAAGGACCGGCTGATACACGGCCCCAAGAAGCCCCACGACCCCAGAGATGTCCCCACCTCAGAGATCCTCACCTTGCACGCTGCAGGAGGGTGATACCTGCACCTGCAAATCTCAGGAACTTCTGCTCCCAGAGCTGCAAGGGCAGCAGCTTTCAGGCAAGCGAAGAATTTCCAAAGCACAGCACACAGACATCAGGTGCAAAGCTCAGGGCTGGCTGTGGCAGTCAGAGCTCTGGGCTGCTGCAGAGCAGAGGCACTACAGCCTGAGCTCTGCTCGCAGGAGAAGAGCTGTGGGTGAAAAGCTCCTTCTGAGATAGGCAGGGCTATTTCCAGTGCTCCTGTCGCAGCTCTCAACTGATGCTGCATCAGCCAGGGCAGCTCCTGTGGCTGAAGGGAGGGAAAGATTTGAGTACCCTTTTTAATTGTAGTGTACACCACGAGTCAGGGCTCTGAATGATGTTAAGAGTGAGGAAAACACAATGATGGGTTGGATTAGATGATCTCCAGAGGTCCTTTCCCACCCTAAAAATTCTGTGATATGGTGATAGTGGCAGGATATTGGGATAGGAATCAGAAATAAACTCCAAGTAGTTTTTCTGTTTGCCCAGATGAATTTACCACAAGAACTGGAGAACTTCACACTGCAGCCCCATCTCAGCCCCTCTGTGTGCACTGTAAGCAGCCCTTAGCAATTGTCTCACTGACTATATATTGTCCCTATTACAGGCTCATGTTGTGCAACTGCTCCTTCTGATTTCTGCCAAGCGTCTTTTAGGATTGATTCCTTCACTTACAAAACCCTCACAAGTATTTTTATCACTAACTCTTTGCACAAAATTATTTCTGCACAAACAGTCCTTGTTCTCTGCTTACAAGTATTGTGCTTTGACTGGAGGGAGGAAGGTCCTGCAGCCTTGACACCTCTCCTTGAACTTGAGAGCAGCACTTCTGAGCAGTGCCAGACTTTCCTCAGCCTAACTAGGTCTGAGAGAGTGAAACCAGTCCTGCCCTTTGTGGCCAGACACTGCTTTGTGATGCTAGCCCAGAGAGAAAGCAAACAGCTTAGACTGTACTGACATAAGTCCTAATGGAATAATTAAATTCAAATAATTCAATTAACACTGCAATTGAGTAATTGCATTTGGAGGACTGCTGGAATTGAGCAATATTTGTATTGTCCCAGCCATGGGGATAGGCACAGTCGCCTTTCAGCAGGCAGAAGGAGACAGATGGTGCTAATAAAGGGCAGAAGATGGATGTGAGGTCACCAGATTAAGTGTGCTTCCTTTTTTTTGGCTAGAGAAGGAAGTCAAACCGCTGTGATCCCGTTGCCTTTAAAAGCCCAAGTAACAGAAATAGAAGAGACGGCAGGATTGCAGGAGTCTGCTTTACCATTAATTACTTTTTATTGAAAGCTCCCAGCCCGCTTGGCTTTGCATCAGCAAGAGGGCAGCTGTGTCCCTGCCCACAGAGCCCCTTATCTTAATGGAGTTCAGACAGCAGCAGCAAGTGGTGAGCTGAGACCTGGGGAGGAATGTCTGCTTCCCTTGGCAACCCGAACCAGCCTGCTGAGCGTCAGGCCAGGAGGCAGCAGACAAGATCTCAGTAAGATAAAGAAGAGACAGGAAAATAAACCGGGGATTTTGGGCTGCCTCACTTGTGCAGGGTGAAGCTGCATGCTGAGATTCCACAGAACAGAGAGCAGGGAGGGGGCTCTGGGTCAGGTAAATGACACCCCCAGTCATCAGCCCAGTTCTGAGGAGTGCCCAAAGTGCCTGGCCCACTATCCACCAACTCCTCTTCCTTTAAAAAGCAGAAGCAGCATTGCAGGAAATGGAAAAGCCACTGCCTCCACTTACCTGTGAGTACAGGGCTCCAGGTGCTGCGAGTGGATCTTTGGGGCTCAGGCTGATGATCAGCCTTGGGGAACACAGGCATTTCATAATTCAAGGATTAGTCTCAGCCAAACACCGGCTGTAGCTCACAGCTTGCCAATATTTGGAGATGGGGTCTTTCCTGGGAACTCAACTTTATCTTCTAGCCTGAGGTGCTGGGAATGGAAAAGTTAACAGCTTGGTTAACCCCTTCCAGTCTGAGAAATCACTGCAAGCGTGATGTCTATCTCCTCTAGCTACTCTGAGCTGGGCTCTTGGCAGCTCTGTTAGAGTACCACAGATCTGCCTCTCTCTTCCTTCCCCAGAGCAATTGCAGGGTTTCTTTCTTTTTTTCATTCTTATTTTTTATTTAAAATTTCCAACTCCCAGAGCTTTCTAAGCAATTTAAACTTGTTTGGCAGATTTTATTTTTGTAAGAAAGAGGCAGCTGATGCTAGTATGCTGTTTGCAGCTCCTCTGCCCTCCCACTCTCAGCAACATCTGAGCTTGGTGGTTAATTACTATGAGACCTCTCCGCCTCTGTCAGTGTTAGCTGGAATGATGGGTTTACACCATGCATGTCAACAGGCATCTAGATGGAAAATAAACCTACTGATGCTCCCACTGTTGGGGAAACGAGTGTGCTGATTCAGGCATCTCGATCCATGTGGATGACAGGCACATCCTGCTCTGCAGCAGAGCTCTGATCGCTGAGGGCCACGTTAGATCCTCCTGTGTGCACTGCAGGACACATCCATAGAAAACAGGCTTGGGCAACTCAGCTCCTTGCTCTCATTTGAGACAGGCTGTTCACACATGCAAAATTGACTCTCTTTCACTCTTCCCAGGCAGGAAAAGCACAGGACCATCTCCATGTGGAGAGGTCTGGTGACACCCCCAGCTTCTCTTCCAGCCCTTTCCTCAGGAGGGCACTTGGCCATGGGCATCTCCATTGCCACACTGCCTCTTGGCTTTGCGGAAGAGGAAACAGAAGCAGGTCTGTTCTTTTGGGCACAGTGTTCTGCTGCAGATCTGTGGCAGAGCAAGGCACAGAACTGAGCTGTGGCTGCTTTTCCTTGAGGGCAATGCAAGTCCGAGAGGGGACAAACACGTCCTTGTGACTGGAAAGCCGCATGATGGTGATGAGTCTGGTCTGACTCATAGCCCAAGAGATGCTGTGATATTCCACCACTGGCCTGCTCTGTCCACCTGCTCTCTGCACTGAGGCAGAGCTTTAGCATTCAAATCCTTATTTACTGTAGGGCCTCATTTTCCCACCACAAGAGCAATCCCAAATCAAGGGGGAGGGTTGACCTTGCTCGCTACAGCAGCTCGTCTTCTGGTTAGGTTCTTGCACACAAACTCATTCCCAGCTCTTTCAGGGTTTCTTCAGATGGGCTCAGGCTCTGTGTGCTTTGGTTCTATCAGGTGTTTGGCATCAACCCCATCTCCAGTTCAATCCCCTCCAGTGAGTACCAAAACATTCTGTTCCAAGAGACAAATTCCATGGAAAATTTGCCACACTACCCAGGTGGTACTTTTTTCCCCCCTCTCTGCTAGGGCCTTTAAGCAATTTTCTCTTTCTTTTTTGATCCATATCACCTTTCTCCTGTTTCTGTCCTGTACCCTGTTCTATCACACATCTTTATAGCAAGGAATTCTGTATAACAAATTTGTACAGAAGCGGTTTTTAAGCTGGTCCATGATTCTTCCGAGGAGAGCAATTTCAACAGAAAGGAATTTAGCTTGACAAATGCTGCCCAGGACCTGCCCTGATCATCCTTATGCTGCACTGCACAGCTTTCATTAACTTACAAATGAATTCCTGTTGTGTCTCATGGCTTCCTTCAGATGTTATTATGCCAGCTCCCAAGGACATAAACAATTCTCTTGATTTAAGAAAGTAGGCTGAGATGCTGCTTGGCTGTGGTTTGGGGAGGGGCAACAACATTGGAAAACACATTTTATTCAAGAAAACAAAAGTATTAGTTCCAAATAGAAGCAGTGGTCCAATTTAAATAAACTCACTGAGCATAAACTTGGGAACTCGTGATGCAAGAGAGCAGAAATGGGGTTTTCTATTATTTCAGCCATTCTCTTCATTCAGCATCTGTATCACAGCAAGCAGTTAATCACCTTCAGCTCTCTTTTCCAAGCACTGGTTCAAGACAACCTTGCAGAATCTTTGTGAAACTTTTCTCTTCATCCAAGGGATGCCCTACCCCTGGTCTGAAGATAGCACCTGGCTCCAGAATAAGAACAATTCTAATGCCCTCATTTATCTATTTACCTACTGGTAATTTAGATTTGATTTAGAGCAAAAGACTGTGGTATTTATTTTTGTGGGTGGGCTTTTTTTTGGTTTTTTTTAGGGTTGTTTTGTTTTTTTTGTTTTGTTTTGTTTTTTTTAATAAACACAGACTGCTCTAAATAGGGAAAAGGATGGAGGCAAGCATGCATATGCATGTAGGCCTAAAACTAGATGTGACATCCCCTGTTCCAGGTCAGGGCACAGCAATCTGTCACCCAGGCACTGCACACACTGACTCTGCTTACCCAGAAATAGGTGCTGCAAGGACAACACAGAGACTCGGGCTGTTGGGAGCATTTGAGAGGGTTCATGAACTCCTAACACCAATTCCCCTTTCATCTGCTGTTGATAAAAGTAATTGCAATGGGCCAGCTTAGTCTGACCCCCAGAGTGAGACAAGGTTCCCAGCCCAATAAATCTCCATGACCCAAGCGCTCCGGCCCTCTTGGGAACCTCATAGCTATTCCAGGCACAGTCCCCTTCCCACAGCTTCTTTCAGCACAGGATTTTCAGTGCTGGTGACATTCTAAAAAAGGTATCTCATCAGCCCTAAGCTCAGGGTGGCTGTCTGCTCTGAACTTCCCTTTCAACACAGTGGTTTTGAAGAAACTTTGATAATGTCTTTCTTCTCCCGCTTTTGTGCAGTTCACATCACTCCCTCACTTCCAGAGTCTCACTCCACACCCACCATTTAGTTTGCCTTAAACACAGCCCCTGCTCACCTCTTTTCTCACAGAGCTGCTCCTTGCCACTTGACTCTCCCTGGATGGAGCCCTCTGGCTCCCCTGGGCTCAGCTCAGGTGAGAAAAGGTGTAGCTGACTCTCCCAGCTGAAGTCACTCCCTCATTCCCCTCTATAAACTTGCCAGCTTGCCACAGTGCCCCCCAAGAGCAGCCTGGGGATACAGCTACAGGAATCTGGGTCAGGAGATCCCATCACCAGGGTTCCCAGTCACAGAAACCCCCAGGGCTGATATAAACTCTCATTACCTGGGCCCCTGTGAGGGGTGGAACCCACTCAGAGCTCACCATGTCATTAAACTCAAGAATTGGTGCTTACATTTCTACAGTTCCTAATCTACCACTGTTTGGCAAATGTCTGCCTTGCCCACATCACCTGATGACTTAACAAAATCAGTTATGTTCATCTCCATTCCTATCCTGTTCCTTTTTCCACAGCTGTCCAACATGACAAGAGTTTTCCAGAAGGGGTGTGTGGCTCTTTTTCTCTCTGATGGGCAGCTGCAGGAGACAGGTTGCCAAATAGAATCAGAGAATTGCTTCAGTAAATACCACACAGCACTCTTGGCAGTGTTTGCTGGGTTGTGATACCATCAAGTTAAAATGGCATGGTTAAAGAAAATATTGATCAGCATCAGAAGTGAATTTCCAGGCTGCTGGGAGCCACAAAGGAGACACCCAATTACAGAGAGATGGTCTCTAAGGACTGTAGGTGGACAGTATCTGCTATCGTTCTGGCAACTTCCTATGATCTTCTCTTCAGAAATGAGTGTGTGAAGGCAGAGAAAAAAGATGAAAGGGAGGCCTTGAGATGAGAAAGTCCCAAATGATCAAAGATTCATACGGATCGAGAGAAGTGCTCCAAAACCAAAGGCATTCCTGTGTTGCCTGTGTCACTGTTGCCCTGGAGTGGATTTCAGAAACTCCTTTAAGTATTCATCTGGGATGTGGGGACGCACATCAGGAAGCAGAGAGAAACTTTTCAGGCCTTGGGGAAGGCTGAAATTCTGAATGATTCTGGCTTTTTCTGACTTGGTTAATTTCTTCACAACCAGGTTCCACGTGTGGTACTGGCTACATTTGAAGCAAGGCCTCACGAGGCCTCTCAATTCTGTCAGCACTCCTCACACAGCCTGCAGCATCTGCTGCTTTTGTGCTGTGGTCCAGGTTCTGTCCCTGGTGCTCGTGCTTGTGTCCCCTTCCTACCCTCACAGACAGGACACACATCAAGGAAGGACAGAGCTCTTCAGCCAGCACTGATCTGAGTGAGGGAAAATGAATCTCACACTTCACCCTAGTTAAGCACATCCAACAAGGGTCAGATATGTCAACTGCAACCTGCCAGGAGGCTCTGGTGAGAAATGTCCTAATGTGACAACAATCCAGGGAGATAAAGCACTTGGGAAAGGAGACATCAGAGTCCCCTGAAAAGAGCACAGAACAAACAATCATGAGGGAAAGGGAAAAACAGGGATGCTGTTCACCATCCTCTGATGAATTCATCACAATCTGAAAGTGAATTCTGCCCGAAGGAGAAAACAGAATGAAGAGAGACACAAAGAGAGACACCAAGAGACAAATCACCTCCTGTTAGTGAAGATCACAGGAAAAAAATAAACCAGCCCCCAGCATATTCCAGGCACCTTCCCTGGAGCCAGGATCACGGGCAGACAACAATGACTGTCTGTGGCAGCAGCTCCTGAAGGGGATCCCAGAGAACAAGGAGGAATTGTTGCTGCAGGTGCTGCAGACAGAGGGTAAAAGTCTACACCAACACCAGCAGGTTGAAAAGGAGCTGCTCCAGCATGAGGGAGATAGATCTGTCTGTACACGTAGGTACAGCTTAGTCATTTTAGATAAACTTTGTCTGGAGGGAAGGATACACTGATAAAGCAGTGTTTCACACAGTGCAAGAAGTACACAAAGTTTGGATACAGACTTTAAACTGAGCAGCAGAAAAATGAAGTAGTCTTTTAAGACAAATAGGTGGGGTGTATGATGATATCAACAGCAGACCTGGAGGAAGATGAGAATGACAGCCTACAGGTTTAAGGGAATCATTTAAATTCTTGCACTGTCTCAGGTGTTTATAGGAGCAACTCACCTGGGTTTTCTCTTCCTCAAGCTATGGAATGAGGCAAGTATCTCGGCCCCAGGACAGTAAGTGGACAAAGGGGAATATGAAGAGAGGTGAAATTCAGAGTGTGAGCTGGGCTGTGTATTTTAGCACACCACCATAGTTCTGAGAGAAGGCAGGAACAAGTCGAAATGGGGATGGTGGCTCTGCAACCACAACTGGAAGACAGAATGTGTGACAAGGTGAGATGAGAACCTGCAGTTTATTGGGATCCTACTGCAAACAAGCCTCTATCTCAGTTCCACATCTCCAGTACCCTCTACTTAACTGCAATACATTTAATCAAGCTGCTTCTTATGGGAACCAAATAAAGCTTGATGATGCTTAATGGCTGGGGCTTAATGGCTGGGTTGTTTAACTGGGCTTATAATTTTGATTAATTAAGATGCTTGCAGGTGCTGGAGTGGCACTTCGGCAGCAGCGTTGATGTTCAGAAGCAAAGGGGGTTCATCTCCTGGAGGCTTTCTGACAGTGCAAAGCTGCCCTCAAGCCTGTGCAGAAAAGGCAGCTCTTGTAGCTGGCAGTAGCCTCCAGATCCCTGGGAATTTTGACAACCCACGAGTCGTTTCAACCAGCTTCCTTTTGGGACGATATATGGAAAAAATCCAAACCCCAAACCTCAAAATTTTGCCTAGGGCAGCCTCTGTGTCCTTGATAGGAAAAAAGTGAGAATGTGAGAGGCTCTCCAGGTGATGATGGTGCTTTCAGGCAGTGAATCCTGCCCAGCAGACTGCCCACCCCCAAAGCAGTGTCCCCACTTTAGTGAAATGGGCAGTAGAGCTTCTCCTGAGTGGAACACACAAAGTCTGTTTGCTTATGAGTTTATTCCCTGTGATCTTCTGTCCTCACTCTGTGATTTCAGCCTCCCCCTGGCCAGGATATCAACCTTTTCCTATCCAGTGTCACCAACCTGCCAGGTCCCCCTGACTGATGACCTACAGGAGCCTGGAGGTGGATGCACAGAGTGAGTGGCCAGCAGGTGCAAGAAATCACATTGCAGCCTCCCCCTTAAGCAATAGAAATTTGTACTTCCCTTTCCTATTCTGCAGCTGGCTTTTGTACAGAACATACTTACCTCAGTTTTTTGTCTCTTGAATGCTGATAAAATGCCCTCAGGTTCAAAAATATTTGGAGATAAATTATGATATGGATACCAGTGTGGCATATGCTCATTTCCAGAGGAAACGAAAACACTGGGGAGAGGCACAATGAGCCAGACTCATCACTGTTTTCAGTATCAAACACTGACATTAAATTAAGCAGAACTTGATGATTTAGGCTTAGTAAATTACTACTGCCAATTAAAAAGGCAATATAACCTTGTGGATAGAGCACTGGCGTAGGGCTCAGAAGAGTTGTGGATATACTGAATTAATTTGGACAAATGTTACCTCCACATGCATATAAATACCTTACACTTTTCTTGTAACATGTATAAGAAATGCGAAAATTAAGCAGCATATTGTCTAGGGACCACAAAGACAACCTTTTCCCAAGAAACAGCTTGTTTGGCAAGCACAGGAGGGAAAAACTGAGTCAGGAGGAATGATGTCAGCCTTTTCTCATACATCTACATTGTCCTGCTCAACCACAGCTTTGGAATAAGAGACATTCAGATCTAATTTATGGAAACTTAAGCTGATAGCAATTGGAGTAGCCCCTGAGTGTCACCAGCACATTTCCTAGCTTGTGATGAATCATAACTGAAGTATCTGCTTTCCAGTGCATTAAGGCTAAAGCAGAAGTTGATTAGGATTATTTTGACCCAAGCAATGGTTCACTTTTCAGGGAAGTGGTTGAAATGTCCAGACATAAGCCTAATTTGTCCTGGAGTTATAACACAGTATATTACAAATGTACTGTGACCACACCTTGAAACTCACTGTCAGCATTTGCAATCCATCATGGAGTATCCATCTTCTCATTGCAGCCTGCCACAAATTTAGCTGCATGGGTGCTGTCTGCAGCCTAGCTGGTCAATTATTTTCTTCTATTTCCACCCCAGAAGAATGCAGGACTCAAGCCATTTTGCTCTGAAAGTACTCACAGGCTTTTGGTTGAGTGTACCATTAACGTGCCAGGGTCTGCTTGTCCTCTCCACTTTGATCACTGAGCAAGTATTTCCTGCAGGACTAACAATGTTAAATGAATATATTTGCCCAGCAGCTACTGAAAGAAACACCTTGGTTACCCATCTCTGTATCTCCAGATTGGACCTGAAGGCCAAAGAACAGATTTTGCAGCATTTCAGCCCTCTGAGAGAAGCTTTGTTATGCAAAATTCCTCTTATCTCAACTTTCACATGATATAGAGAAGGCAGACTCAAAGATAATTGGAACTGTTCCTTAGAACCTCTTATTTTATTAATCAAGAAAGATCAGAAAAATAGGTGGAGGGACAGCAGATGAATAGACAACACTGAACCATAAATTGTCAAAAAACTGTTCAAAAGAGCTGAGATGTTCAGCAATCCAACTATAGCTGGTTAACTTGTTCTGCCAGTATAAAAGAGCCTCAGATGTGGAGGAAGAGAAGAACTTTGATCTTCTCACCAAGAAATAGGCAAGAGAAGATTCTGAACTGGCCCCACTCCCAGCACTGGAGACCGAGCAAGGACATTGGCACATTTCAAGGACACTGCAAGTCTTGAAATGGTACCAAAGCACCAGACTCATTGTCCAGAGCCTCACTGTGCTACTTCTCAGCCACAGCCATACAAAAGGCTTTCTCTGGCTTACAGAACTGAAATCTTCCACTTTCTGATTCACAGGGTCTGTGTCAGACTGAAGGAAGCACAAAGTTAACCAGGGCAGTGTAAGAGCCAGACAGCATCAGCTGTTAGAACCTGTGGGAACTGTGTTCCTCCTGACTCATTTCTCCAGAGACATTCCCCTGGACTGTTCAAGGGAAAAAAATCTACTATTTCAGAACAAGCTGGGTTTCCAAAAGACTTCAAACTAAAACATTACTTTTTGCAAACTTTCTCTATCCATCTCTCTATCCATCAGAAAAATTCATGAAATCAAACTTCCTTGATACTCTCAAGGTGACTTCCAAGATCTCCTCTTCAGAGAGAAAACGAGCTCTACCCTCCTTGCTGTTCACAGGGTAGGGGAGGTGCAGCAGCAGCTTCCTGTAAAAGAGGACACAGAGAATGTCAGTGCCTCAGATCAGGTGAGCAGTTGAGATGTCATTGCAAGTTACTCCTGCAATTCCTCAGTCAGTATGCCAGGGAATGTTATTCCAACAGATCTCCTTATTGTCACAGGTTGTGGGGCTCCTGCAATACCTCACACACAGCAAGACTGACCCTGAATAATTTCCATCACTTAAAAGCAGCTTGGCTTAGAAGCAGGCCCAGAACTACAGAGCTGGAAGCAGTTGCTTTGAGTTTTCCTACCCATCTGTGGGAGAACAAAGTTTTTCAGTATGTAGAACTGGACATCTTGATTGTTTCCTTCATACTGAGCAGACTTGCACTTATATTTGTGAAAGCAGCACTGGTTCAAGCTGTACCCAAGCAACCATCAGATTTATGGTGAACTTTTTATTTGCTATGCTTGTGACTAGAGACAGCTGGGTACTGAGGATATAATGGCAGATCTGAGTCACCAAAAAGATAGAATTGCAAAAGGAAAAGGATGCTGAGGTTTTCCTACATCTGCAGCATTGCATTAAGCTACTTCTTTTACTGCCCACAGGTTCGGCAAGTCGTTAGCTGAGCAATTATTTCTCCCAATTTTCCAGTTTCAAAACTAATATTCCCAAACCTTCTTCCACTCCTGTTGCATCCTTGGGTGAAAACCAAGCACAGGGTAACTGGCTCTGCCTGGTTTTGGCAGAGAAAAATGGCTTTTCTATAGTTAGTCTACTGGGGACTTATTTAGGCCTTAATCCACAGCCTGCACCTTGAATTTATCTGCAGAAGGCCATTCACATATAGATCTTCCCACATCCCATTCAGTGCAGCAAGTCAGCCCAGGGAGGATTAAGGTTTCTTATGAAAGCAGTCTTTGTGAAGGAGGACTTTGAGCAAAACAGACATGGGAATTATCTGGAAATCTCAGGCAGGGGAATAGCACACTGAGGGAGAGATGGAGGAAGACTGAGAAATCCAAGAGTGTATCAGTCAGTTGATTATCTTGTAGGCTTGAAACAGCCCTACAAAAAAAAAAATCAAAGGAAATCTCTTTAGGAAACCTTGTAACATTTCCATCTCTGCATCTGTGCTTGGATATGTCCATAATTTGGCTTTCAGCTACTGAAAATTCATCTGCACTTTTTTACCATCTTCAGCCATATACATTTGTACAAATTAGTGCTTAGACATACTAGACTAAGTCTTTCAAGACCTTGGTCAGCTTTTTTCCAGATGTTTTGATCCCTTGAAGCCTTGTTCTTTAAATAGCCAAAACCAGTCCTAAAGCTTTTTACTGGACAATATTCAAAGCCAGCAGATTGTACACCTATGAATGGACTATGCTCATGAATATTTATTTTTCATGAGCAATTAATAGTACGATCTTTAGCTTTGCTTTCCACACAGACTGCAGTTAAAAGCTTGGCTAAACCCCATTTCAAACAGGATATTAACTGTACTTCTATCAATTGTGCTACACTTACTTTTTGGGAGTTCGAAGGTCAAGAACCTTGTCCTGGATGTCTAATGTGATGTCTGAGTACTTTGTCTCTGGCAGCTTGATTTTAATCTGAAATGATGGGCAGAGGTAAAGCTGTGATTACATATGTTGCCCTAAAAGCCATAAAATATCTCATTTTCATGAATATTTCAATGGTAGTATCAAAGAGCAACGTTTTGAGTAGGTAATTTGTATCAGAGAAAATACGACAGTGATAATGACTGCTTTCAATAGCTTAGTGATGTGTATTGATATCCTATTCTCTTCCAGATCCTGAGCTGCTAATGTGCTTGACAGGTGTTCAACATCCAGCAGAAGCCTCAGGGTTTGTGTATTGCAGGGACAGTTTGCTTCTGCTAGAAAGATAACATAGCAATTCTACCTGTCCTGGAGCTCAGAAACCAGGGAGGTCTTTGATTATATAATGATGAGGCAGGATCTGATAGCTGGAACCTTAAAGCTGTCAGCATTGTAGCATTCTGCTAGCCCACACACCTTGTAAAAAATGCAGGAAGATGAAAAATATCTTCTTCCCAGTCCCTCTCCTCACCAAAACTGTGTCCAAGATGAAACTTCATCTTAGAGCTACATTTAATTCCCTATAAGTTTATATGGGGCATATGCATTTGCACAGATTCCCTTGAGTACACTTGTCCTTGAGGAGATACAAGAGTTCCTCAGGTCAGCAAGTACAAATCTACAAATGAAATCTTCTTGTGTGCCATCTCCACAATCTTCTTGTGGAGAATCACAAGAAAATGCTACAGGAGGTCAAAGGCAGCAGTAGAGCTTGGTGTTTACATTCTGTCCCTCAAAAAGCAGGGAAGATGGAAAAGGGCAGAGGAAGAGCACAAAGGAGGGATCAGAGCTCCAGGCTCAGCTCACCACTATATCTTCACAGCAGGCAGTGGAGGGGTCTTTCCCAGTCATCCCAAAGAAGACATCCTCTGTTCCCACATGCTGCTTGAATGAAATCTCATACCTGCCAAAGAGAAGTCATTGCCTCCTAATACTGGAGCAGGGGCAGGAGATTAAAGGAGACTGTGATTCTCAGAGGACTGAAAATCCTCCTCACCCTGTCTCTCCTCCTCTGCAGGCTCCCTTCAAGGCTCCAATCCATCTGCACTGGGTTTCTGTTCAGAGCCATGACCGAGACAGCTGGAAGACAGGTGGAGATCATCCACTCCACCTCCCAAAGCACTCACCATGCTGCCTCTGCTTCCCTAACCAGCCTTTGCAGGAGCAGGAAATGCTCCCTAAGTGGACACGATGCTTATCAACCAGTCAAACACCACAAACCCCTGGGAATGGATCTGAAAAGGGGGATGTCTATTACATGTGCTCTGCTCTGTCCTTTAGGATATTCTTGCAGCCTAAGCATAATGCTCTAAGCCAGATTGTAGTTGTTTTGCATTCAGCCAACATTTATTTTCTTCTCCTTCGCATCTACAAAATGTAGCATCACGTATTCCCTTGCTCTTGGTAATTAATGAACGAGGAAATGAAAACTGAATTTGTATTTATAACATATGCTACTCCTACTAAGTTCAGCAAAATTACTGGGGTGGATCACTTGTCTAAGCTATTAGAAAGACTTTCATATCTCCAGTGTGCATCTGCATATGTAATAATTCCTAAGTCAATGACAAATGTGTCTAATAGCTCTGGATGCACCTCTGTAGCCATCTGTTTTCCTTTTAGGACATTTTCTTTGCTTCATTTGATGAACTATTAGAAAAGACTTGTACTCTCTCTTCATCTGTACAACATGGGGCACAACTGCTTGAGGCTGGAGAAGCACTGCAGAGGGGAAGGGTCAAAGGATGGCACGAGAAAATCTTCTTTGTGCCCACAATAGAGAGAGAGTGTGTGTCCTGTACCTGACAAGTGGCCATTTCAAGGACAATTGTGCGTGAGGGTGAAATCCAAATAATTTTCAGAAAGGCTGAGTCCCTGTTCAGGTGGGCCTCAGTCCTGTGTTTAACTGGGAAATTGAAAACCTCATTTTCAGAAAGGCTGAGTCCCTGTTCAGGTGGGTCTCAGTCCTGTGTTTAACTGGGAAATTGAAAACCTCATGTCCTGACTTACCTGCAGGAAAAAGTGAAGATTCTGGTGCACAATGTGCAGCTCCATGGGCTACAGACCATCTGCTGCAGTATTTAACACTTCAGGACATGGCATTGAAACATTGATTGGAAATGCAAAAGCTGCTTTTATGGACTGTCCCTCAGGGCTTTCTGACCTCTACAAACTACAATTTACATGCCTGATTTCAAGAATATTTTTGCTACTGTTTTTCTATGAGCAAGGGAAAAGGCTCTGGTTTTAAGTTGTGCTTTGACAGACTAAGATTGAATGACAAGATTTAAGAGCTCAAAATTGCCTGCACACAGCTTTTCTTCCTGCAGTACTATTTGTCTCTAAAGAGCTTAAATCTTTGAAATGCAAATATACATTGGAGTACTTTATGAATTTATGAGTATGGAGAAATGGATGCATCTCAGTTGCAGCAGGAAAAAGCAGGTATTTCACACAAATGGCATATTTTAAAGTTAATAAATCGTTTTTCTGACCTACTTCCCCTTCTAATCCCACTTTATACAAGTAACTGACACTGCACATAAACTTATGATGGGAAAAACCAACACTATGTTTCTGTTCTGAGATGAGAAGATTTCAAGAGAGGGGTTAAAACCACTCCTCACATGTTGCTTTAGATGCAACACTGATATCTTTCCTTTCTTCTTGCACGACACAAGCCTTTCAGCTGGCTGTAGATGCTGTTCAACTCTCATTTCCATTAATGCTATGTAAAGCCCACACAGGCAGTCTCAGCTCTCTTACTCTGGCTTTTCTCTAGGGTCCCAGGTATCATCAAATTCAGATCCTTCTGGGACCTCCTCTGTATTCCAAATGGTTTTCTTGTTTTCAGATTTCACTTGAAAAGTACCTGTAAGTGAGGAGAAAAATCACAGTGACACATTTTGAAATGTCTCTGTTCCTCAAGGCTTGCTGAAAGCTTAGAATATTTTTCAAGAATGAAAAAAATAAAGAAGAAAAGCCATTTCTAAAGCCTAGAAAAGTATTTCTAGGCTTTAGAAAAGTCTTTGCATTAAAAGCATTCTAGGTAATGATTATAGTCTTCTTCACCTCACTATCTTATGAATGAGGATTTACAGACAAAGAATGTTTTCCTTTCTTAAATCTCCTTTACCCAACCTCTATTTCCTGGAAATCCTCCTTTCTGGCATATAATATCTAGCACTTCAAAATCAGTAAAGAGTAGAGAGATGAAATACTAATCTTCCAGAAGCCCCCTGACATGAGATTTTCAGTGAGCAGAGTCATTCACAAAAGGACCACCTCCTCACACAGAAATCCAGTTCTTCCCATTTGGCACAGTCCAGACAAGGTGTTTAAGACATATGAAAGTTTATTGGCAGAATAATATGGTTAATGTCTGTCCTGCATGGAAAAATATTATTTTAGCAAGCTGGTAAATGTGAAACTTGAAGTTTTTTAGAGTATAATCTCTGGTTATTGCTGGAATCCTGAGCAAAAATAAGCTATTATATTTGCCACAGTTCTTTTCCTGCAAAACTCACCCTGGCCCTTGTTGGCCTTTCTTAGGGCTCTTAACTAAACTGCTCAATCATGTGACAGCATCAGCTCCAAAAAACTTAACATTAACCTTGCCAAGTCTTTGCCAAAACTGTCTTTCTCTCTTTCTTGAAACTTATATGGAGCTTGTGCTGCTCAGTTATGATCCCTGCAGCCCCTGGCTGTGCCCTGAGCTGTTCTCATCTCCACTGGAGGCTGCTCTGGCATTACCCTTTCTGCTTCTCTTTGCATGTTTTAAGAGTTAAGCTTTCAGGAAAGGAATAATTTTACAGTGTGATTGTGAGAAATGTCATGCTTTGCCCATCTCAAAGGTCAGTGACCACTCTTTTATTGCAGTGGTATCTTACTACAGCTGCTGCAGTCTGCTGACGTGAGACTGAATGCCAAAACACACAAATACTCCTCCTTACTGGTGGTTTCTTTCTTTACTGGTCCAACACTTCCAGGAGTCATGGAACCAACAGAACAGCGTGGCTGCAGAGAAAGGCAAGAACATCTTAAATCAATTTTTATAGAGCCAAGCTCGGTTACAACCATAATGTCAGTAAATACAACACATTATCTAAGGTCAAACAAATCCCCAGTAGAACTGAAGAAACATTATCCCACAGTTTCATGACTGAACCACTGAATATTCTCTTTTCCTCACTCTCACAAAGCAGAAAGTGACCTTGACACACAGGGTTTAAGCAGGACTCACAGAAGCCCAGTAGTATAGACAGATGTGCTTTGTGAGTTTTGGTTTCCATGGCATTTTGGCAGAATTTCCATGCGTTGCCTGCCATGAAAATATTACAGGAAACCAAGGGTGCTACATGAAAGCCCCATCACAGCATTTGGATTCCTTTTTACAGTAGAGATCATGAGGCAACAACATTTTCCTCTAATTATGAATCAATTTAGTGCTAATAGGCCAATGTGAGGAATTTCTCTATATATGAAGATTCCTCGGTTCAATAAAAGTGCCTCATATGCACAGAGCATTAAATTAAATCAAAATAAAGATTTCAATTTACCCAGATTTACTCAGACTTAATTGACATCCCTCATGGCAATTTTCCATTTCTGTCTCTGAAGTGTCATTCATTTTATTAATAAGATGTAAACAAATTATTTTTAAAATCAGGATGTTTACTGCAGAGATGTACAGCCATAATGCAGGGTTTAAAAGGCAGGCATTAAACAGCTGGAGGATAGTTGGAGTGTGAAGGACCACATCTATAACCCACTGAAAGAAAACTTCAAGGGACAGGCACACCTTTTATCCCAAATATTAATTGCAGTGCCACTACTGGGGCTGGCCAGCTCTTTGTTGATTTGGAGGAACACTCAGGCATTTTCCATTTTTCTTATCTGTTTTTTTTTTATCCATAATATGATCTTTTCAAAATCCTGAGAGACTTGGCAAAGTTTTGGGATTTCACAGAGGCCTTCTACATTGTTGGCACCTGTGGGGCTCCTGGCAATATTTCTTCCCAGCACACAGGCAGGCCTAGATAAAAGCAGGTGTTGCATGTTGCAGGAATAATGTATGTTCTCCAAACACTGGGATTTTCATCCGCTGCTGAGAGGAATTGATATAAAAGAATACATTTGGATAGTTCTCTCATTATTCATTCAGATTATACACCTTAGAGTGACTGTTCAACTTTCCCTATTTTACAACCACCAAAATACCTACTGTACTTCAGTGATCAATTATCTCTAGTTTTCAATGCCTGACATATACAATTAATACACTCAGTTGCCTCTGGATATTTTGGTCCTTAATCAGAAGTTGAGCAGCAATTTTTTCCCCTCCTATCTGGCTGCAATTGCCTTCATCTCCAGCAGAGTTCAGGGAAATGTAGGTGGAAGGCTGAAGTATCTAAAGCTCTTTCAACTACACGTTCTCATTTCCTTCAGGCTGAAAAACTAAACCTCCCTCCTATGTTGTGCTCACAATGTTTTCTTGTTTTCCTGGGGCATCTTGCTCATTATCTCCCTCAAGAGCTTGTTACTCAGAAAGTATCCTCGAGCTGTTTCAGTCAGTCCAAAACTTTCTAAGATTTTCATCCTGTTTCTACTCACTCTGGAGAAAAAGAGATTTGCTTTTCCTTAATTAACAGCATAAGGCTATGGTACAATATGTAAAAAAAGCAGCAACTCTTATGAAAGGCTCACCACATCATCGTCATCATCATTATCATCATCCTCTTCTGGAGCATCACGGAGCAGTTTGGCAAGGCTCTGCAGAGAAGAGCCTGAGAACACGCTGTCAATATCCATACCCACTGCTCACCTATACGGAAAAACAAGTGACAGATGAAGCAGGAACCAAATGTGCTTGGAACAGCCTGTAAAGCACAATTTTCCTGCTGTGTGTTTGGGAAGGAAAAGTTTAGCCAAGTTCCTGTATGTGTGATGACAAAACATGGAAAATGGAACATAAAATCAAAGAATATGCTGAGCTGGGATGGACCCATCAGGATCTGCGAGTCCAACTCCTGGCCCTGTGCAGGACAGCCCGAGTCCCACCATGTGCCTGGGAGCGTTGTCCAAATGCTCTTTACACTGTCAGCCCTGGGGCTGTGACCACTTCCCTGGCATCCTGTTCCAGTGCCCGACCACCCTCCGAGAGAAGAATCTTCCCAGATATCCAACCTAAACTCCCCCTGCGAGAGCTCGAGCTGCTGCTCCCTCGGGCCCCGTCATCCCGAGGGAACAATACCCAGCCTTTTCCCTCTGTGCCCGGACTAAGGACCGATTGCTCAGCTGCCTTTTGTAGCAAGCACAGCTCGAGCCTTACGAGCGACCTGGCAGAACTCTTCCTAAAATCCTCCCCGGCCATCGGACCGGCCCGGCTCCAGGCGCAGGGGGGGGAGAAGGGACCCGCACGGACAAATCCTCGTCACCGCGTCCCCGCTGTCGGGCGGCTCCGGCCCGGTGTACCCTCCCTGTACCGCACCCCTGTCCCGGTGTCCCCTGTCCCGGTGTCCCCTGTCCCGGTATCCCCTGTCCCTTTGTCCCCT